GTACTACCAGCATCGACAATATCGAAAAGTGGATGTAGCACGGACATGAACCGAGACCGACAGTATCGAAAAGTGGACGTAGCATGGACATGAACCAATTGGTTGTTTTATCATGCCACCGAAAGTGGACGTGGCCATGTAGTTCCAAGCGTCTGTAAAATGGACGTAGAGGCGCTGCTGTACGGGACCGAAAGCTATCGTACGAAAAACGCTGGGATGGCCGCTCTCAGGCTTATATATATATATATATATATATATATAAGCACTACTGACGTTTGTGTCTTAAGATGGCGGCGGTGGACATGGTGGGAGTAGAGTTGGCGCCTCTCTGATAATCTGGGACTCTCTTGGCAGCTCCTTCCGTTGGCGGCAATGAAGCAATATCTGGCTTAATACACAATTCTGCGCTTCCCCATTGGCTTTCTTTCTTCTTTTTAGTGGAATTTTTCGTCAATATCTTCAGTGCAATATAAATATTTCAATCAAAAATCAAAACGGGGGGGGGGGGGGTGCAGAAGACCGCAAACTTTTGCCACGTTGTTCAGCGCTCGAGATTGTCACCTCGCTAACATTCTTTTTCAAAGCTGCTTTGATACTGTCTGCACGAGTATAATTTTTTCTGCACGAGACATGAACTTTCACAGTCCTCGCTCCTTCTAACTGCACGTATTTATTATCTTTTCTTTTAATACTTGCATTCTTTAAAGTCTCAATCCCTTTCTCTTTCACTTCCACGACATCACCTAAAATAACTTTTTCACAGATGAAACATTTTCCGTTTATCGCCATCGTAAACAAACGTCGCCATTGTAAACAAACGTCACCATCGTAAACAAACGTCACTAACAAAAAATTGAGCTATCTCTTCTTCTTCTGTCTTACATTCTTGGTAAGTTTGGGTAAGATATTTTCTCGAAAACTATTATAGTTAAAAAAAAATTGAATCATACCTTTTTTGTAGACAATTTAATAAACTCTCATTTTGATAATAACTATTTTTTCAATTAAGTCAATATTTTACGAGATATAGGCGAAAAACCGAAAAAGTTCACCTATTTTTGAAGATGGCGGCGATAGCTCAGTTTCAATCTTTCAGGACTTTTTAGACTTTCATTAGTAAGCCTAAATGAACATCTCTATAAATTTTCAAAACTTTTGGAATTATTTTTTTTATTTGCTTAAAACGGGCCTTTATTGACTGGGCTACACAAATGCGCCTCTAAAAGTCATTGCTCGTTTTTCACACGCACCGTTCCGCGCCGCTTTTAACAGGATGCTCAAATACTTTCTAGCGCTGACTTACAGTTAGCTTGGGATCCAACTTCCGCACATTTTTGTATTGATCTTTGAACCATGCGTGATTATCTTTTATTTTATTTTTACTGTGCAAAGTACAAGTGTAATGGTAATTATTTATAAATTGAATAATATTTGCACTTGTAATAGGATCAATGATAGTCTGCAACGATTAGCATTGTATTGTAATTATAATTGATCGCTTTCATAAATTGTCTGTTAATGCGCATATTTGCTATACGAACGCGTAGTTATAAAAATAGACGGTACATTTACTGATTCCTTTCATCTACTGAATAATTCGCATAGTTGACATTTAAATTTCTCTGAATGAAAGTGAGGGATGCGCGACAGCTTCCGTATTAACGAGTTATCCTTGTGAAGAAACGCCTTGTATTTTAATGCCCCGTGTAAGATTTTACAAAATATGTTTTACTGTTTTATATACGCGAAAAATTTTCTGATGTGAACTCTGAGAATGTTTGCCCTCCAGTGATAAATATGAGTCACAGAAGGTGAACAGGCTTGACTTGAGCTATCATTATCGATCAAAACTGTTTTCGAGAGCAAGTCCAAGGATATCGATAGCAACTCAATTTTATATTAAATGGTAGATAATCCCGCATCGCGGTTAATGTCAGTGACGTTTTCTTCTCAAGCAAACTCTTCGCACTCGCGGACAAATGTGTACATGTACATATACACAGTCGTGACGCGCGCGTCCGGATTCTCTTATAAAATCGTTATAATCGATGGAGATCGACTGTCGAGCGAGGCGGCACGCCAGAGCATTTAGCTCACCGCAGGAAGATTTCCTGTCGAGAACGCGTTGTAATCGCGAATAATCGTAATTTCATCGCGGTTTGTCTCGACATATATTTCCTGAGGATCGCAAACATAACTGATCCTTGCATTCAATTTGAATGATCGACTTCGCGTACGCAATAACATTCGAGCGAGATCGCAGTTATTTTACGCGAATTAGTTTCTTAGCTTAGCTCACCGCGTTTAATAATTGTGCTTTTTTATTGCGATCTCGTACATTTTTCCCGAGTATATATGCGTGATTAGTTTCTGTAGCTGGCCGTTAAATCGCGATGACAACATTCCCACGAAAACGTGTGTGTTTCGTAATTTCTCTATCAAGGTTTAATAACATGTCGTGCTTGGTATCGTTGATCGATAGCTAATTTATGATCTACACAATCATTGGCACTTTTATTGTAATCGACTATCAATTTTGTTCGATAACACACAAGTGTGATACAAATCGCTATAAGAAAACGAATCGCGAATGAAGGATAAAGATCTATTAATCTCGCGCGACGCACTTGACGCATGACGAGTCGAATAATATTGTTTTCACAGACTGTTGATTCGTGTGAATATTTTTTATCATGCGATTATTTCTTGAATGTAGAAACAGTATTGTGAGTAGAGGAAAGTAAGGTAAAACCGAGCAGACAGGTCAAATCGGGTACCTCTGTTTCTTCGTGATAAGTGCTACTATCTTTGGCCAACTCGTGTTATTAGTTGTAGATTAATGCCATTACGAGTATTATTTTGGGTAAATGTTCAGATTAACTTACACCTCACGGATCGTTTTCATTTTTATATATATTATAGAGGGCATTATTTTGAGATGAACCGTGCCTATATGCACACGATATTTCTTTTTTAAGAGAAGTTCAAAATTTTAAAGAAGATCGATATTGGAGCAACAATCGAGTCGTTATGGACTTTTTCTACAGAGCACCTGCTTCGGTAAATGCAGCATTGTATTCTGTACATATTAGAGAGTATATCGCATTAGTTTTGATCGTCACTTTGTATACTGGAATACATAACGTGTTTCTTATTTTCTTTATGTTAGGGCAAAACCGGGTACCTACGTATCTCATGTAATAAAAAGAGGAAAAACTGTTATGCTGACTTTGTCTCCTTACAAATAAGCAGTTGGAAATAGAAATTACCACTCAAAGAAAAAGACTATTAAAAAAAAGTTTTTTGAGACCCCTAAAGTTAAAAAATTAAATAAGAAAGTTGTAACGATGCACCCCCCATCATTACCCGGCAAGTAGTCCACCCGGAAGTCTGCCGCCCGGCGAACACCAGCCGGGCAATGGCAGAGGCGCCTAGCGCCCTTTTTAATACTCGAATTACCGCCGTTGCGATAAACAACCGTACGGCCGTTATACGGCCGCCGTTACGCCGTTATACGGAAAACCAAGCACAGCCGAATGCTGCCGGAAGATCCCGAGCGTCACCCGCCGAAACGCTGCGTCGTTTCGCCCAGGGGAAGCGACGCGTTTACCGTAATAATTACCCGCCGAAAACAACGCGTCGTTATCCCCACCCGGGGGCGAACGACGCAATTACCGCTAGACGCTCGGGTATAAAAAGGCAGCATTTCGACATCTCATTACCAGAACGATTCCTGAATGCTCTCGAGCAGTACGCTCCGAGCCGATACTAGAACCGCTCCTAGAACTCGCACAAAACGACGGAACGTGAGATTGACGCGTACGCAGTCTCCGCCGAGCATTACCGAAAGTCCGACCTAATCAACGAAAGCGGAGAGTTCGTCGCTATCTAAGATTCGGTCTAAGATCCGACCGCTATCGCTAAACGGACTGTAGGCCGGCGAGTTCACCGCTCAGTCGAGGCTTCTCGACTCCAGATAGCCATCCTCTATCCGCGTACGGAAGCAGGGACGGAGAGTTCTCCGCCCGATCGAGGATTCTCGATCTCCGGCCGCCTTCTCCCGCACACCTGGGAATACGCGGATAAGAACACGCGAACGCACCGACACGGTTTTACCGTGATCCAGCAATTATAATCGCGCCAAGATACGTAATCACCTCACCCGATATAATTCGCGCGCCGTCAAAATAAACACGGCCTTGCCACAGTCGCGCCGAGCGACCGCGCCCTGTTTCTTGCGCATTTCGCGCGCCGTCAAAATAAACACGGCTTTGCCGTACGCGCGCCGATCAACCGCGCCCTGTTTCTTGCGTGTTTCCCGCGCCGTCAAAATAAACGGCCTCGCCGTATGCCGCCCGAATATCTTAAGCGGTTCGATACATCGAATATCGCACACCGACTAACCTAACCTAACGCGTTGCATTATCCACCGCGCGCTAGCTTCACGAAACATCCAAATCTAAAAAGGGCATGTTATTGACATTGTTGTCGCTTTTCCGCGATCTTGATTGGTTGTCTTGTTCATGCGCTTGCTTCACTCGTGTGACTTGCTTCATTCGTGTCGTTTGACAGTTTGTCATTTGACAGTTAGTTGACAGTGTTGACAGTTAAAAAAATAAATATTAAATATAGTTAAATATATTTAATAAATATAGAAAGAAAGAGGAAGAAGGAAAGACGAATAAAGAAAGGTATGTATATTATATATGTATATTGTGTGTATATATGTAAAAAAAAAAAACCCCAAAGAATCTATATAGAAATATTACCTGATTATCTCGAAAGAAAAAAGAGAGAGAAGAAAGAATAAAAAGAATAATAAAAAAAGGAACAAATTTTATATATACTACAGAAGAGTCATATTATTATCGACTCCTAGCAACTAATAAGCAATCGCTACGCTATGTTTGGTAATTCTGCAGATAAATCTAGTATATCAAACAATAGCCAACTAAAAATATAATCTACAACAAATAGAAAACTGCACTGTGTATGTGCAAAACTCTGCAACCTTGCAACCTTGCAACTTTGCAACTGCAAATACAACTCTGCAACAACCAACGGCCATGTTCGATCAGAAGATAGCCAGCAGATTGACGAAATAAAATCCCTTTTTCCAGGGCGATAAAATTCTGAAATCACCAACGTTGATCAGGTAAACATTACGATATCCTGTTTACTTTTATTGCACAATGGCATACGTGAGGAAAAGATAGTTTTGTATTAAGATTCTTTAGAAATAAGACATATGAAATAAGAAATATCATTATTGTAACAAAAGTTATAGTTCTTGTCATTACTAGGAAAATAAAAAAAATACATATTATGTAAAAGAAAAACAAAATAAAAAGAAAGAGGTTTTGGAGGTTGCCTTCTCTTTCCTCTTTCTTGACAAACAAATCAGCGCGCATAAATTACCACACACATACATCTTAGTAAATCGCGAAATTTTGATGGCGCGCGGAATTATATCGGTGATACGATTACATATCTCGGGGTGATTATAATTGCTGGCTCACGGTAAAATCGTGTCGGTGCGTTCGCGTGTTCTTATCCGCGTATTCCCAGGTGTGCGGGGGATGCGGCCGTCTTGTGATGTGCGGACCTTATATCGCCGGGACACGTGTACCGCGAAATGCGGGATCGGCGCTACTAGTCCCGGCTCGAGTTCCACCATGATCGGCGGTGGCGCCGCGGGACCTATCGGGACCAGGATTTCGGGGCATGGGGGGGGCGGGTGGTGTTTCCCCCGTTGCTCGCTCCTCTGGTGCTGGATCCTGGCCCGGTGGCGACCTTGGTCGCTTGGCTGGCGGCCTCATCGGTGCCGGTGTTGTTCGGCGACGGTGGCAGGCGGTTAGTGGCGGCAACGGTGTGGCCAACATGGCCAGCTTCCGCTGGTTCGTCCTGTCGGACCGCTGGATGGCGGTGCCGACTTTCGGCGGCCGTCTTGGTGGTGGCGGCCGGAAGATCGGCGGTGCTTCCAGCATACCGTGCCATACGGCGGCTCGGGCTCTCCTAATATCTCGTTGATAGCTTCAAGGATGTCTACTTCGATGCTCATCTTAGAAGCTTCTGAGTTCGTGATCTTTCTGGTTGCTCTCCTTTCGTCGGCTTTTGCTTCTTAGCTCGTGGTGGGATTGTTTTGTTCGTCGTCCTCCCCGTTATTGTTTTCGTCGATTTCATTGTTATTGTCTTCCGGATCCTTTGTATTGTTGTTGTCGTCGGTATCAATGTTTTTGTTTTCGCCGGGAGCGGGTTTTAGGTCCTGGATATGTATATGGCGATACCATTTCCCGCGTTTGCTCCGAAGATCGACGATTACCGGCAAAATAAGCCAACGTACTTCTAGTGGGCCGATGAACTTTGGCGCGAGCTTTGCATTGAATGCGTTTGCTTTGTTGGATAGCGGGTAGTTTCGCTTCCAAACATTTTCGCCCAGCTTTGGTCGCCATTCTCGCCGTCGTAGGTCGTAATATCGCTGTTGTCGCTGGAATCCCCTGGCCAGGTTGATGCGCACGACTTCCTCGGCGTCTCGGAGTTGTTGTCGGACGATGTCAGGTTCTGGGGCCTCCGTAGTAAGTGTTGGGAGGGCGGGGGCAGGCGGGACTAATTCGCGGCCGTGGTTTAAGTATGCTGGCGTGTATCCTGTGGCGTCGTGCGTGGCGGTGTTGTACGCGAATTACAGCGCAGGGAGATGTTCGTCCCACTCTCGGTTGTCGCGGTTTACGTATTGTGCCACCATTGTTTTTATCGCGCGGTTGGTGCGTTCTACGGGGTTACAATGCGGGGCGCGAACGGGTGCGGTACGATGCTCGATCTTAAAAGCGTTGCGCCTTGTTGTTAGTGGTGCGGACTTAAATTGCGTTCCGTTGTCCAATATAATGATATCGGGGCGGCCGTGTCGCAGGATTATGCGTTCCATGATCTCGCGCGTTACGGCCGGTGCCGTGGCTTTTCTTACTGGCGCGAGTTCTACCCATTTTGAAAACCGGTCTTGCATGACTAGCAGCCATACGTGCCCCCGGCGTGATCGGGGAAGCGGTCTCACTAGGTCGACCGTGACGTGTTCCCAGGGGCGGTTAACGTTTGTCGCGTGCATATGTCCTGCCGGTTTTTGTTGTAGCGGTTTATGCGCTAGGCATTTGGCGCAGTGTCGGACGTAGTTGGTAATTTCCCGAAACATCCCGGGCCAATACAATTTTTTGGCGATGCGGGCGTTGGTTTTCGCGACCCCCCGTGTCCGGCCGTGGGGGCATCGTGGTACTGTCGGAGGATCTCTCCGCGTTGCTCGCGGGGCACGCACAGTTTCCACTGTTCGTCGGCGGATGTTTTTTTGAAGTTCAAACTGTTAAGGATATGGCGATAGAGCCTGTTGTTCGTGATTTGGTAATCCGGGTGCGCGGCAAGATCGCGTCGGATTTCGGTTAGTAAGCGATTGTACCAGCGGCAATGTATCGTTTGAATCGCGTTTATTTCCGGTTTTCTTGAGAACGCGTCGGCTACGCGGTTTAGCGCTCCTCGTCGGTATTTGATCTCGTAGTAAGGATGTTCGATTCTCTTAAAAGAATCGATTCTTGAATCGATTCTGAATCGAATCATGAAAATCGATTCTCTTAAAAAATCGGAATCAAAGAATCGATTTTGCAAGAATCGATCTAAAAAATCGTACAAAATTATTTATATATAATTGAAACATACATAAATCTAATTAATTAATTAATTTTAGCTAATTGTGACCATAAAAAATTTTTAATTGAATTAATTAATTTTAAATTTTAATGTGACCGGACTTGGTGAAATTGGCTCTTAGACTATATAGATTGTAAAGAGTGTAGACATAGGCTGCGGTCGGGAACACGCTAGAAATGCTTCGAAGCATTTGATTGACCAATCAGGACAAAAAGAGTAAAGATTTATTTATTCTGATTGGTTAATGCAATGCTTCGAAGCATTTCTAGTGTCTTACCGACCGCAGGCATAGTATCATGGTGTAGATATAAACAGTAGCGACAGGTAAGAAAAAAGCGAGAAAAACGAATTTTTAAAAATAGAATCAGTTCTTCGATTCTTAGGGTAAAGAATCGATTCGCAAAAAAATCGTATAGCAAAGAATCGATTCAAAAAATCGATTTTTTAACTAAAAAAATCGATCTTTTAAAGAATCGAATCGGAATCGAACATCCCTAGCTCGTAGTCAAATTGCTGGAGCTTGAATAGCCA